CTTACAGCTGTTCCCTTTTCAGGGGTCACCACAGTGACATCTCACTCTGTCCTTATCCCAGTTACCTCTATGTCCTCTTTAACTACAGGAAATGACAGCAATGTAAATGTTTATAAAATAGTTTGCATGAATTGCACTGAATTAATTTATTCAGATGGAGTTTAAAATGACAGCAATCCGCTTTGGTCTTGGCTGCATTTGGACTGCATTAATTCACCAGTTCTGACAAAATTAAACTTTATTTCTCCAAATATTATAAAATTGGATTCATGATAGCAGGGTTTCTGCTTTTTGGCATCGGCGGATTCCTATGGTATCTGCTATTAAAGAAGACGGCGACAGCAGTTTTGGCCATGGCAAAACTGCTGAGTCTGTGTGAAGGTTTGGTTCATGCTTCGAGTAAATCAGCTGCTTTACGAGCTAAACTGTAAGATGGAAGCGCTTTGTGACAATTACAGATCACCTGCAGCTTCTGGGACTCGCCAGCATGTTGAGGACGACTTTGGTGGGAGTTCATAAGCACGGAGCAGTGGAATGCCCATGTGTGCCCACAAATCTGGCCATTTTGGGATCTAAAGTACCAGCAGGACTCAATGCTGACAAGAAAAATCAGTCTGCCTGAAAACAGTCAACGATTGTGGCTTATCTGAATCTGAAATGATGTTGTGAGTGAACTGGTTTGACCTTGGCCAGTTGTCTCAGGTGATGAAAGCTGGACTTGACCACAGATTTAATCTCAGCATCCAGTTTAAAATCATTGTCCAGCCTCACACCCAGGTTAGTTGCTGTCTCAGTCAGATGTTTTGTGAAAGGGCCCAGATCAGCATGGACTTTGGAACCATGACTGGGCTTAAACGACAAGACCTCGATCTTTTGCTCATTAAAATGTAAAAAGTTCTGAGACATCCATGCTCCGACTTCTGCCATACATTCCAGGAGTTGGTTCACAGAGTACTGTTTATCTTGTTTTAATGGAACATAAATTTGGCTGTCATCAGCGTAAAAATGAAAATAAATAACATGTTTCCAGAGAATATATCCCAGAGCTAGTAAATTAAGGGAAAACAGAAGGGTGGCAAGTCTAGATCCCTGAGATACTCCACATGTGAGAGGTGCTACAGAGGACCCCACAGAACCAATACCCACACAAAAGCTTCTCTTTGTTAAATAGGATCTAAACCACTGTAGAGCAGGACCCTGAATGTCCACCCAGTTCTCCAGACGGGACAGGAGGATCTGATGGTCCACTGTGTCGAAGGCAGCAGTTAGGTCCAGCAGCATCAAAACTACACAGTGACCAGAGTCTGTGGCTAAGCAGTTTTTTTTTTTTTTTTGGCACCATTCTCATTGGGTCAGGGTGCGTTCGGCAACTGTTTGCTAAAGTCCGGGAACTCTCAGGCTCACTAATAATAAAGTTATGAACAAATATGTCTGTCTTGTCATTTGGGGAGCCATGATTGAACCGTGTCGCTGTGACTCCTCCTCAGCTGGTGACGCTCTGGACGCTTGTCACCCACAGCACGTATGCGACAGAGAATAAACTCAAAGCGAGAGCGTTACCTGCCCCTCTTCCTCTTTTACTTTAACAATTTATGTTTAGTTTGTCAAAGCACAATTTGTGTTTTTTAATACAGAAGTAATGTTTAATAAATGTTAGGACTCTATTCTTTGCTAACAAGTCCTCCGCTCTGGACACATTTCACCCACAGCACGCAGCAACAAAGAATATAAAGTCAAAGCGAGAGCGACACCTGCCTCCTCTTTCCTCTTTCACATTGACAACATTTTTTAGTTTTATCGATTTGTCAAAGCACAAGTTTGATGGGTTTTTTTGGGGGTTTTTTTGTTATTAAAACAGATGTTTAACAAATGTTCGGACTCTATTCTTTGCTAACAAAATATATTTTGTCATTAAACAACTTGTCATGTTCTTCTCTTGTGAGTTTGCTCCCCTGGACCCCACCCAGCCCGCTCGCTCTTGCACTCTTTGCAGCTTCTCTGCTGTTGCTGCTCTGAGACCAAGTCCAGGTCCAGTTAACACTGAGCAGGAGCTGAGAGCTGCAGGATCATGTTTCAAACTCCGCTTCAAAAAGCTGTGCACTGCAAAACATGATCATTGTAGCCATTAATCCTGACTTCCTCATTTTGATTAAAAATAAAATAAAAACAGCACAAATTATTTTATTCATTTTTGTTTTGTAGGTCAAAGTGTTGTATATAACACTCCTGACTTAAAATGTTGCTGATCAATTTGAATTTATTATTATTTATTGATTGTATTTAATTTGATCATTATCAAATGGTCAAAAATGTTTAAAGTTTAAATAAGGATATATATTTTTTTAATTTCAGGCAAATTGATGCACTTTAAGCCTTTTCTGTTACAGACTATAAAACAATGTTAATAATCTTTGTTGTAAGTTGATCTATATTTATTTATTTATTTAATGTTAGTAAGGGTACAATGTTATGCAGAGATGTATTTATAACATTTTTTTAGACAAATTATACTATTTACAGTCGCAGAGGAGAGTGTGGGGGGGATGTTTACTTCTTCCTGGGGGGCGGGGTGTAACTGAAAATAATTGAGAAGCACTGGGCTAAGAGAATGTCGTTGAAATCTTTCATCAGTGCTGACTCAGTACTGTGGTGAGTTTTAAAACCAAACTGAAACAGTTGAAGAAGGTTGTGGTCGTTTAAGTAACATGTTAACTGGTTGTAAACTATTTTCTCCAAGCTCTTGGACACAAAGTGCAGTTTAGAAATAGGCCTAAAATTAGACATGACTGTGTGGTCCAGGCTAGGCTTTTTAATCAGTGGTGTCACAACTGCGTGTTTAAAACTCGCAGGTACCCGTCCACTTCCCAAGCTGCCATTTATAATTTGGGACACATAAGGAGCCACTGTGTGAAAAACCTCTTCAAAAAGACGAGGTGGGATGGGATCGATTGGCGATCCAGCAGATTTCGTACGACCAGTGACGTCTTTTAAAAAAGGCAGGGTGACGAGCTCAAATTGACTGAAAACAACAGAGCGTGTGACAGAGATGGAGGGGTCATAGGAAGGAGGGCTTATGAGAGCTCTAATGTTTGCAACCTTGTTGGTAAAAAAGCTCAGGAAGTTCTCACACACTGTAGCTGAGTTCTCCATGCAGGCTCATTGTGGAGCATTAAGAACAGAGCTGATGGTTTTAAAAAGCACACGTGGATTGTTGCAGTTGGTGGAAATGATGTCAGAGAAATATTAGTTTTTTGCAGCTCTAACAGTGGACTGATAGAAACGCCAGCTGTCCCTCAATGCTTGGAAAGACACCTGTAACTTGTAATGATAATAAAACTTGTTCTGATTCTGATTCAAACTGATGTCAATCAAAGACATACTGTACAAAATAAGATTTAAACTGTTCATAGCATTTACAAACAAAACCTTCTAAAAATTGACAAAATTACCCTTTTAATCAAGTAAGTGTGGTTTATAAATAATTTTAAGGCCATTACCATAACAAGAACAATTTGTATCATTGGCAAAGAAAAGACATCTGGGCCTTGGCAAATGATTGTAATGAATAAATCAAAGAGTTTTGGATCCAACACTGAACCTTGAGAAACGCCACATTTGATTGTTTAAATTCCATATTTAATCTTTTTAAATTAGATTTAGAAGGCTGCCCTCACTTTTGAACAGTACCATCATTTGCACAATCATGTAACTTTAAGAGTGTTTCTTAAAAAATTATTTCAAAAGTTCTGATTACCAATATTTGCTTGCTAGACAATATTTGCCTGTATGCGAGTGGTGGCGCAGAGGTTAGAGAAGGTGGGCCTGTGATTGGAAGATCGTTGATTCAACTCCCGGTACTGACATCAAAATGTGGGTGGGAAAGGTGAAGCACCCACACCTGCCTCCACCCTCATTTGTCTCACTCTGGGCCCTTGAGCAAGGCCCTTAACCCCCTCCATCTGCTCCTCTGGGTGCCCTAGATAGCAGCTCTCTGCTCCACACAGAGGGCTGTGGTGGCTCAGTGTCTGGTTGTGTCAGGAAGAACATCCAGTGTAAAAATAATTGTCATTTCTTCGTGCGACTTAGTTCGCAGTGGCGACCCCTGAAGTGTGTGTGTGTGTGTGTGTGTGTGTGTGTGTGGGGGGGGGGGGGGCAATGTTTGCTTGTAGGAAATTATTATTGTATTTTTATATTATTTAATTTTAATGTGGGTTTTTTGTTTTGTTGGTTGAATGTGCAATGTGGACTATGCTTGTTGTGGATGAACTAAAGATATTTCCATTTGTAACTACATGCAACAAATAAAGTAGAGCAATAAAGGACTGCTTGGCATTCAACATGCTTCACAGTCGCATGCATACTTGAACACAGCATATTGACAAACACGCACACTATTCTTTGGTTGTTTGCCATGAACACACCCATTAATTTTCAATATGTATATTGATCCAAGTACAAGCATGCCTGGACTCTTTGAAATGATTGTTTTCTTTCTTTATTTTTCTTTCTTTACAATTCCCTCATTTGCAGGGCTGAGGAGTGCATAGAGATGTCTCCACTGATTATCATTCCAGTTAGCGCGTCGTGGATCAATAATGGAAAATAAGTGGGTTGGTGGATCGGAGACAGAGAACAGGGCTGGAATCGAGCAGTCATCATCGAAGGGTGGAAATCAGTTTTAAAATTAGGCAACCCAGTTCAATTGGAGCACATGATGCAACTTGAAGGTTATTGCCGTCCACCTGATGGAGCATTTTTTAGTTCCTCCCACTCTGTCATGGCTGAAGCTGGCAGGCAGGCCTCCAAGTTCAGCTCCATCATTGTTGGTAATGTAGTGGCTTGGAACAGACGGAGCGATGCAACAGGACGTCCTTGGTCAAGTCATTTATAGGCTGTTAATAAAGAAAGTTTGAAGAATGTAGCTCCGGGGGCTGAAGTATCCCTCGCCTTTGTCAGACTCTTAAGTGTGCAGCACTGCCAAGATCATTTCAGAGGTTTGACATTTTGAGGACACTGAGAGATTTCAGACTAATTCACTGATAAATCAAAATTATACCCAAAGTGGAAACGGTAATTGTATTAGAATGTCCCTTTCATCTCTGCTCCTCTGGAAACCAGATTGTGCTCCTTTTTGCATCGAGCTCTTTGTGATATTTTTTGTTTGGACTTAATATTCTTGTCACATAATTTCATTTTGCTCTCCCTCTCCTCTCATTTATTATTCTGCTGTAGGTGTTGGTGTCGGTGCAGTCCCTCATCCTAGTGGCTGAGCCGTACTTTAATGAGCCCGGCTATGAGCGCTCCCGCGGCACCCCCAGTGGCACCCAGAGCTCCCGAGAGTATGACGGCAACATCCGACAGGCCACCGTCAAGTGGGCCATGCTGGAGCAGATCCGTAACCCGTCACCATGCTTCAAAGAGGTAGGAGTCATGGTTTCACCAAGACATTGTCATCATTCAGGGGCTGTGGTATTTGAAAGCAAATCTCATGTTTATTCTGAAGCAGTTTGAAAATAGCCATTGACAAAAAAATTACTTTGCAGGCATCCAGCCACCTATAAACACTGGCGAAAAAAGGTTATAATAATAGGGGGGGGGGGGGGGGATCTATGTAAAAATAAATCAAAATAGTAAATTTCACAAACATTTATTGTCAGTTTCAATAAATAGCACTATGTCTGTATGTCATGTGGGGCTGAGGTGACTTGATGGTTCCTAAGACTCTAATCCTGAGGCAGCAGGTTCAAGCCCAGGTTGAGTCAGAAAGGGTTTCTGGCATACAACAATTGCCAAAATCATTTGGGCGAGTTAAATTGGGTGTGGCGACCCCTGCTGAAGGGAGCAGCCGAAAGAAAAACAACAACATTTAAGCCACTTTGTCATTGATAAGCGTGACTCCACTCAGCTCTCATCCTATTGTTTCTTCTTAGGCGTAGTTATCACTGGGACTTGTTTCCTCGCACTGTAGGTGAGATTATCAATGCAGTGTGCGCGGTATCGTAACTGGTCGTTGTGTTCGAGCCACTCCACCTGTTGTGGTCCTTAATCGCCCCATAATAGGACTTCGATTGATTTAGCTTATCCCAGCTCCGCTTACAAGTCTGGGTGTAACCATGCTGCACGAACATCTGCGATAACTCTGTAAATGTGCTCATTTCTTGTGGCACCGTCCGTCAACACTATCGGAGAGGAAATGGAGGTTCAGATGTAGTTTGCAGTTTTGCTGGGCAAAACTCCAGTGACTGTAGCTCCACTGGCCAATCAACGGCTGCTGTCGGTTTATGTCATAATCAGCACCTCGGGTCAGTCCGCTTGGAACCACAAACAAGACCATAAACCCTGCTGATTGGGGGTGGGTACCTGCAGTGGTCAGGCCCGTAGCTGGTGTGGTGCAGAACCAATGAGAGTTGAGACGGTGGAACAGCGCCATAAGTCTTGTGGCATGGTGCTGATGTGGCCTGCAGACTAGGGCTGGGCCATATCACATCGTTCACGATAATACCGGTTAAAAAACGTACCCGGGAAAATTTATTATATCATGATATGCTAATTTCATGATGTAAATACGTCAGTGTTTCCCCTACCATTATATAAGCGGGGCGCCCTGCCCCATTAACCGAACCGAGCGCACCGAACTACCGAACCGAACTCCCCCCCCCCCCCCCCCCCCCCCCCCCCCCCCCCCCCCCCCTCCCACCCCCACTACCCCACCATTACTGGCGTAATGCTAAGCTAGCCGCGTGCAATAAAAAGCTAAAGGCATCGCTCATGCTGCTGCTTCCCTCACGCTGAGCCCCCTCCCCCGGCTCTAAACTGCCGGTACAAACAGTGCGCAGCTGTGACCCAAGAACAGAGTCAGGTGATCAGAGACAGAGCATCAGAGAAATGAATCATTCCTGCAGTAGAAGAAGCTGAAACTCCACAAGCTTCAGGGTCAGATGAAGACACCTTGTGACAAGTTCTGGAAATTATAGCTCATTTAAAGGAAACGTATATTTGTTGTATGTTACATTTATACTCAACAGATCTTAAGCTTTTATTTTATTTAGTTTATTTGGGAACTGCACCTGCACTTTAGTTTTTGTAGTGGATTTTGTTGATCTCTATTTTCGTGCAGACTTTTTCAATCTAAATAACAGAAGGATCATTTATATTTTTATACTTTTAGATTGAAAACTTTACTAAGTAAACTAATTGCAGTAAAATTAACCCTTATTTTTTTTTGTTTTTATAGAATACTGCATAGCAACATGTTAAATAAATTTTGTCAAACGAATAACTATGATTTGTTTTTTAATTTATTTTTTGTTATATCTCAAAATTTATCATTGTGAGAATGCTCTGAAATATCACAACATTATATTTGAGCCATATTGCCCACCCCTACTGCAAACCTTCAGGCACTGGGACAAACAGAGTATCTGAGTTAAAGAGGCAGTTATAACACAGCAAAAAGCACTAATGTATCATGTATCAACAACTATCATGATTCATGTTTTAGCAAGAACCGTTCAGCCTTACATCAAGTTGTAGCTGATTTAATGAAACTTTACATACAGGTACATTCTGGACACTTAGAAAATATTATAAAGTGGATGATATTGTTTTCATAGTAAAGTTAGAAATGTAGTGGACTCCATGTTAAGTTGCACTTTCACCAAATTGTACTTTTGCAGCATTGGTCCCACATACATTTACACATACATTTACTCATACATTTACACATACAGTTACACATACAGTTACACATACAGTTACACATACATTTACACATACAGTTACACATACA